GGGGGCTGCCCCTTTACCCTCAGGCAGGGCCAATGGGGAGGTTATGCTTTACCTTTTACCCCAGAACAAGGCCCGTGGAAGGGGGGTTGGGGGCTGCACCTTTCCAACACAGGACCGCAAGGGCAATCAGGGGGATTGGGGGGCTCCCCCCTATCAAGCACAGAGCAGGGCTGATCAGGGGGGTTTTGGCCCCCGCCCCCTGTCACCCACAGAGCCCGCAGGGTGATCAGGGGGGTTTGGGCGCTGCCCCCTGTCACGCTGATCCCGGTGCCGGGAGCCTCACTGCTCCGCTGATCCCGGTGCCGGGAGGCATATTACCCTTTTACTATATAGAATAGAGGCCTGGTGCATGGGTGGGGGCCGGCTGGTTTGCCCTGAAGGGTGTCCTGGATCAGGGTGGGGGTCCCCAGTGGGGTGCCTGGCCAGGCTGGCTGAGGGGCTGAGGGCTGTTTTCAGGCTGGTGGGTTGACTGAAGCTCCCAACCGCTCCTTGTTTTCTTTTTTTTTTTTAAATTCTGGGCCAGCTTTAGCTCTGAGGCCTCGCTGCTGAAAACATCGATACAATGTTGCAGTCCGGCTGGTTTTCAGTCCGGCTGGTTTCTGGGGTTTTGTTTAGCTTCTTATTTGCAACATAGTACATAGTTGCTTAGAGTTGCAGCTGAGAGGCCGGCAAGTTAGGCGGGGAACGTTGGAGTTCGCAGTCACTGAAGCAAGCAAGCCTCCCTGCTCGCTTCAGTGCATGGCTGCCGGCCGCCATCTTGGCTGACAGTTAATTTGCATAAGGATATGCTGATTAGCCAATGGGAAGGGTAGCGGTCGTACGCTAATTACCATGTTTCTCTTTTATTAGTGTAGATATTTTTATAAACCAAAATAAATAGCAGATTACAAAAACACAATAAAACTAAGAAAACACATGTGATTTTAAAAAACCAGCATTATTCCCCAGCTGGTTTGGCTCAGTGGATAGAGTGTCGGCCTGTGGACTGAAGGGTCCTGGGCTTGATTCCAATCAAGGAAACATGCCTGGTTGCGAGCTCAATCCCCAGTAGGGGGCGGGTAGGAGGCAAACAATCAATGATTCTCTCTCATCATTGATGTTTCTATCTCTCTCTCCTTCTCCCTTCCTCTCTGAAATCAATAAAAATATATTTAAATAAATAAATACATACATACATACATACAATAAAAGAAAAAAACCAGTGTTATACTGTGAGGTGTATTTCTAAATTTCAGCAATTATTATTAAAAATGAAAAAAACATTTAAAAATAAAAGATCTATGCAGTATGGTCAAGAAATTTTTCTAAAGGAATGAGCAAATGTAAGCTGGCAAAAACATGGAGCAACGGTTATTTCCATATACTTGTATAAACTGGTACAACCCCTGTAGAAAGTCATTTGTCAATATCAGTAACCTCAATATGTGTATATACCTTAACACAAAAGTCTACTCCTTAAACTATACTCTAGAACAGCAATTTTCAACCACTGTGCCTCAAGAATTTTTAAAACATGCAATACCTAACTATTTAGTCAGGGGCACTGACCTCTTTTCCCTTAGACTTTCAAATAAAAAAAATGACAGCAGCCAACACAATAGCCATCCAATATGAATGAAGCAAAATTATACCTATTTTTTGTCAGATCAACAAAAAATATATTTTTGGTGTGCCAGAGTTTTAGTAATTAGTTTATGTGTGTCATGAGATTTTAAAAAGGTTGAAAATCATTGTCCTGTGAATAATGCTCACACATGGTAACAGCAGGCATGTACAAGAATGGCTATCGTAATCTATAATAATAAAAGCATAATATGCTAATTAGACCAGACAGCCGAATGACCTTCCGGACGTCATACCAGACGTCCTTCCTGACCAAGGAACGGTGGTGGGGGCGAGACAGAGGCAGTTACAGGCAATGAGGCAGGCAGGCAGAGTGGTTAGGGGCAATCAGGTAGGCAGCCAAGTGGTTAGGCGTGATGAGGCAGGCAAGCACAGTGGTTAGGGGTGATCAGGCAGGCAGGCAGGCGAGCAGTTAGGAGCCAGCGGTCCCGGATTGCAAGAGGGATGTCCGACTGCCGGTTTAGACAGTCGGACATTCCCCA